AATTCGAAACCGATCTTCGCCGAATTTAAGCTTCGCAATAAAAGCGAGATGGAATCTTGCGTAGACCGAATTGATTTAGTTCAAGTTTGTTATATGGTAATTAAACAAATATTTACTTTTGTTATAATAATTTTGAAGCAATCATGTAACTGTGCATATATATGCAATTGAGATTTGCTATTTCCGTCGGTTTAGGATATGATTTACGGAATTGACCTGATTAGAGGCGGCTGGCTCAATATTGTGCGTAGCTCGCTCAATGCCGGGAAGTTATTATAAATCGCTGATAGTAAACGAATAATTTCTGCGAATCCCTTCACTTCGGCAGCTCAAAGGGGGCGTTGAGGCGTTTTAAAACAGGAAGGTTGTCATTGGCGTGTGATGTAAGGCCGGCGTCGTTTTGGACGTTCGCGAATGTCAATATTAACGTTCCGGTCCCCGGCGCGCGGCAGAAATAGTCGCCGCCTATTAATATGAGCGTTAGCTGCATCGCCCTTGAAACCGGCCGATCACCCCGCGCACGCGCACACTCGCGCCCCACCCGCGCACACTAGCGCCGCGCCGCGCTCTCCGCACACGCCCGCACAGCGCATGCGCATTGCGCACGCACACTGCGTCCGCTATCGGTGCAGCGCGGAGCTGCAGAATACACGCTGCGATTATTTTCATTTCCATTTCATTTGCACAAACATGTTATGCGCACAACACTAGCTGCCTCTTGCCATCTTACTTTTTATTTTTGTTTCGTTTGCCGCTATATGCAATGCTTTGGTAAAATAGAATCGTTAGATTTTGCTCAATATCAATTTATAAAAAAAAACACATTAAAGCAGAGGGATTTTTTTATAATAAAATAATACTAAGAACCCAATAAGAACTAATTCTTATATGAATAAATTGAGGAGGTCGTCACACAACAATAAAATGAAATTAAACGACATCAAAAAGCAAATGGTTTTAAATGCATTCGTTTATGTCAGCTACAATACGTTATTCTAAAATATTGCTCAATCGTACGTTTGTACAGAGATACATGACCAGTCATTGATTCAATAAAACTTTATTCCTTCCCTGTAGCTCCCGGCCCCCGGCCCCCGGCCTCTGACTTGCTGCACGTTATTGTACGAGTGAGTTGCGTAACGTAATCGGCCAGAAACATTTCGTGGATGACGAAGCTCGTATCTCTTGTGCAAAGATTTGGCAATTTCCGTAAAATATCACTTGTATCAATAAGTTGTTGTGCCAAATATACATGTTAAATACTGTTATTACTACATAATGTTTTTGTTTTCCGACCATGTAACAGTGGCAGTAAGAACGTATTTGAGCAGTTCAAAGTGCAGATTGGTATACCGTACGCGGTACGTGGCAATAGAGCGCTAACAACATACTCGAATCAGGTTTCGACTGCCCAATTCGAGTAGGAAGGTCGTGCGTTTCGCCAGCGACTGACAATGGCCCGCCGCTTGCGCAACGCCCCGCCACGATGTTTGCAACACACAAAATTTCGTATATGTTGCAGCAATCGGCTACACATGCCTGCTGCCTGCGAGTTGTGAGCGTCATCGTCATCGCAAGGCAGCGGCAGCCTCCGACACGCGCTTACGCAGTGCGGACACGACGCATCGCGAACTTACGTAAACCATTGTTGCGATTTTTGTGCCATTCTCAGGGCTGAAGGCAAAGCCTTACAGATATGAAAGAGTTACTAAAATTTAGATAATGCGGCCGATGTCAGCGCTGCAACAGACTACCGACACTGTCCAAATTATCTTTGATCTTTGACTTATTTGTAATCTGCCTATCGTCTATAAACTGTTTCAATACATTTTTAATATATTAAACAAACTATTACTGTATTCCAAATAATTACAATGGGACCTAACTATGTTGTACGTATCTTAAGAAATTATTAATTTATTATGCAACACTGATATTGTTCCTTTAAAATAAATTAATTTATCCGATAAGCGAATAGATGCATACTAGTGTGGTTAAAACAAAAACCTATTTAAATATATTTGTTGTGAGGTGTGAGGTGTGACTATACTCGGCGGCCGCCTCATGACCTCATGTCTATTGAATATTCAAGTGAATTACCCTAAATAATGTTAATATCGTCTGTTTGTCACCAAATAAATACATCAATGAACTGAGACATTGTAAAATATCGAGGAAATATTGTATAAACGCATTCTTATTGAAACATCGATAAAGTACTATTAGCGAATTTTATCACGATCATTTCGTTGTTTATGACATTTCAAATTAATTATAGTGACGTATAGATTGAAATCTTTTGGTATATCGATGTAACATTTTAATGAATTTCCGTTTCGTTATCAGATCAGGTGAGATATATGAACATATAAATATATAAATGTTGCCTTTTAATAGTTTTAACACGCGTGCCGTCTCTCACGGAAACTACGGTTATCGCGCAATAAACTAGTATTTATGGTCAAGTTATGAGGAGTTATGTGCGGCCCGGAAGGTGAAAAAATAATTCTAACAATTTGATACATTGTTATATTACCTGCGCTTGTACTGGCTACTGAAATATATTTAATTATTTATCCTCTTTTATTTTACGTTAGAACAATGTCAAACAATATCTGTATACTGTATTTTATCACTGGAGTACTGTGACAGTTTTCAATAGAAATTGACGTAATGTGCTGTAGAGTCAACCATTTAACAATGTATTTTAATTATCCTGACTCTAATTTTAGTGCACGTAACATATCCTACTTTAAGAGCGGTATTCGCTCAGATTTGCTACCAAGATAAAATCAAAGCTTTTATTCACTCCCCCGGCGCCCGTTCCTGCGCGAATACTTTGATAATGACGTGTGTGCAGGGTGGGGGGGGCGGCGGGGCGGCGGGGCGGCGGGGTGGCGATTTGCGTCGTGCATATAATTTGATCAGTCCCGATGGTAGACAAAGGAGTCGGCCGGCGGCGGAATCCCGCGGCGTGCCTAGAAGGTATTTTGTTGAGGCGACACATCGCACAATCGAAAGTGGTCACTTCGTATGCGCCGGCGGTCGCGTCGCGTGCACGCGGCGTGCATACTACGTCCGAGGCCCGCACGTCCTACGCCCCCCGCACTCCGCCGCGGCTGCTGTTTTTTGCATCTTTATATTCGGAGCACTGACCTTGTGCAATGTCAAATAGCTGAGCCATTGCAGCGCGACGGCGACGCCTCCAGACAACTGGTTCCGACTTATAATCATACTGTTGAGCTCCCCTCACCCCCCATCCTCCCCCTCACACTCATTTATAGATATGAATGTGTCGATTTTGGCAATTTTCGTAATTATTAGAACGGTTGAAAAATATAAATATGTATAATTGTGCACTTTAATATGTAAAAATTAAGGAAGTGTAAGTTACATGTGCATATATTTTTAAACACAAGTCCTCATATCCGCGTCATCTGCATAGCAGTTGGGAAGTTTATTGAACGCAGAATTACAAAGTGCAAATTAATTTTAGCAGTTAGCGGCGATAAAAAGATTAGCGACAAAATGTATTTGAGTGATCCACTCCGAGTATTCCGACGCAAGTTAATTCCGTCTCCGAATTAATCGTGTTGTTTATAAAGCGTTCCGTAAGAGAGTCACTCGCGCTTATTTTCTTGTACACAAGTTGTCGGTGCACGACATAAATATTGCCGCGCGGCTGAATAATTTGTGCAGTTAATGGGGCGATTTAAAATTTCAAGAAAGAAGGCCAATTGGCTCGCATCCAGTGCAGTAAACACGCCTCCGGAAGTGGGTCCGTCACACGCGTGCATCGCGCGCTCTACATGTCACTTATCGCACTTTATAGTGTTAGCTAATTAACGAAGTACATTGCATATCGCACAATATTAACGAAAACATCATAATTTAAACATATCAAAAAGCATTAATTAAAGGACTGGTATATTTAAATTAAGTAATTGCAATGTTGCAAGTGCTGCCATAATAATTTGCACACAAATAACAATCTTTTATAATAATTGTTAACGTGTGTAAGTATTAATACGGTTCTTATCTCTTTACACATGTGACGTTTCCTTTAACCTCCACGTCCGATGAACTAGCGACTAGCAAGTGACTCCAAGTACTTCTCACATATTAAATCGAAATTAAATCTGTAAAATCGTGTAAAATAGAGGGTTAAGTGGTTCTCATCTGCTGCCGCCACACAAAATGCTTGTTTTTGTACGGCACGGCGGAGAGGAGGCGGGGGCGAAATGTCTCGTTTTTCCCGAATTCCCCGCGCGTGAGGAGTCCGTAAGGTGACCTTCCGGGTGCGTTCGTTCACCGAGCGGTCACCTACAGACGCCCCCCCCCCCTTTGTACCTACTGCCGCCCCGCGCCTCACGGTATATCGCTATTGTTATTCTATTTTACGAAAATATTTATACAATTCTTATTAAATGACCTTATTTGTTTTATTATATCAAATTGGATGGCTTTAATTTTTATTTTATTAAATGTTATTTTATTATATATGTTGTTTTATCTTTGATAAAATCTTTTATAAATTGACCAGAAACAAAACTTAGTTTAACTTTTCACAATTTTTGACTATTGATATGAAGTTGTCTGCATATACCTTCGCATATAAGTAAAGTGAATGCGTTAGCAATGTAAGAAAACGGTATGAGGATAATTAGTAGGGAATGTATTAGATTTGTACGGAAGGAAATTCCGAATTTACTTATTACGTTATCAATGCAACCTACCTAGTCAGAGGAACGGTTTATTTACATTACAATAATTGCAGTTTCCTTGATTGTGACTATTGTCTTAAATATTACTCGTAGCATTCTCCATGAAAATATACATTGACTACAGATAAACGTTAGTTATAATTTTAGAGTAAGTTTTTAACATCATCGTGACGTTTCAAGTTTTCGACATCTTTTTGGTGAGCTATAAAGATGATCTAAGTCAAAGATGTAATTGGCTAAAGCATTTGGAAGGTAGATAATAATGAGTGAGCTTACCCGGTGGCCTGGTGTGTGTGGCGACGTGGTGCTGCAGCGAGGAGGCGAGCTGGTGGTGCGGGTAGAAGGGCAGGAACGGTGTGGGGAAGGGCGCGGGCGGCGGCGGCTGCAGGCGCGCTTTTAGCTCCTCCGCCGACCCCGCGCCCGACGACGATGATTCCACATCGGACACGCCGCTGTCCGCAGGTGACGGTGGCAGCGACCCTGATATATTAAAAAGTAGAAAAGTGAATGGTTTGAACATTACTTACAATTTTTTTTTATGAAAAACAACAAATATAATAGTTCTAAAAGTTAAAGAAATCAGTTATTTAATTTTTTTACTTGTTATCAAGTTTATTATTGTGTTTATTGTTTTGCAAATTATTTTTACAACCGCGAATGTAAACTGTGTCATCCATAATACATAATGTAATGAAAAAAATAGATTTCTCAGTAATATTATTAATAGAAGTGACCGCTGATGTAAATGGGTCGCGCGATGGTAATTCTAACAAACAATGCCATTCCTAAAGCGCACTACGCAGAAACGCAACCCATATTGTATCATAGCACTAAATTAAAAATAACGTAACGATCAAACTACTTTAGAAGCCATAAAAACTTTACGATGTAAAAATTTATCAAGTGTTGACAAAGCTTGACAATTATTACATATCAACTCACAATAATATTATTTAAAACTTGGCATCGATTTTTTTAAAATCTAATATTGTTTTATTTATAACGCAGTGAACTATAAACCTTTGTCATTTAAATTTTGTTAAGTGGTAAAACTAACGTTATCAAAGTGAGAACATGTAGAAAACCGTTGCAGTGGTCAAGTAGACATAAATCTTCTTTGTTGTATCTAACGGTCATCTGCAAGTTGCACATAATTAGCATGCGTCCCCGAGGAGATGCGTTAATCCCGGGGTCCTGAGTACATACGTTGCGTATGCTGTGGAACCCGCCGTTAGATCCTCCAAACCTCTAGCCTGTGATGCACTTGCTCACAACCTGATCTTGTGGGAAAACTAGCGGTCAGTGTAATTGTGATGCAAAAAGATGGCATGTTTTAAATTGACAATTATGCAGATCGATGTTTTGGGGTCGTTCAGCGCCGAGTGCATTGTTGCTTTGCATTTTTTTGCATAATTAAAACATTGTTCGGTGCAATTGTTGATGGAATTTTATAATATTTTTAATGAGATTTGCTCGGTAAAGAATATTTTAATAATTAATGTTTAGGGTCAAGTTGTACATGTTTATAGATGTGCGTAATTTATACCGTAAGCGTTGAAAATATGTTTGGCGCATAACTAACTAACGAACATTTAGAACTGCGACACGGATTGTATTGTGTATATATTTATACTATAAATAAGTTGTACAATGGAAATTTAAAATAGAAGACGTCGTCAATCCTAGACTTTACAATACAAGTTTGTAGCAGGAGTTGTTTATCGAAAGTTTCTCATGTCCGGCGCGGTGCGGTGCGGTGCGGTGCGGCGCCCTCGTGATAAAAAACATTTGACGAGTAACGGTTGCGCACAGCTCGGTATTTAAATAATATAATGGTTGCGGCGCTGACGACTATGAGCCAGGAAGAAAGCTGGTCATTCATGCATTTCCTCGTGCATTGAGTCTATGACTGGTCGGGGCCGGTGACCATTTGACCGGTGCGAGAGTAAACGCGCTGTCCACACCCCTTTGTGGCCATTGTCAACCCTTCAATGGGACAAAGCGCTGGGAACCGGGAAGCGCCGCGTACCTCGCGGGCCCTACGGTCAGTTTTGACCATTTAAATTGAGAATGAAATGGTGTAATTTTTTAACAATGGTCACGATATAATTACTATTTTAAAATGCACCCGGGTGTGCTTTTTGGGAGTCTTAAGATTGGAATATTCCTTTAATGCTCGGTTAGTTTTCGAAGCATTTTTATTATTTTAAACGAATGTTATTTTAAAAAAACATTTTGAATCTTTTCAAACTATATTTAAAATAGTATAATATATATATATATATATATATATAATAGTTTTGTGTATGGAAAGGCAACGTTATAGATGGACATCGAAGCTGAACTGAAGAAGAACAACGTCTGTAAGAACAAACATTTAAATGCATATTATTTCTACATTCATAACTTCAAATAAAAATGATTGTTGCTCTATAACTTTATTAAGATATTGTAAATATTTGACGTGATCTTATGAATAAAATTTAATATCAGTGTATTTATATACAACGATGTTTTCTTATTACGTGAAATGTAACTACAAGTAGACATGTTTAATAATATCTTACATTAGAAGTATTCTAATTGTGGAATTGACCTTCAACGTAGTAAGGCAGTAATGCTAGTTTCACACGAGGGTTAAATAGAAAAGTATTCATATTAATTAAAAGCCTATTTAAAAGAGTATTGTTATGTCCCGGCGTGTGTGTTGAACAACAGCAGTTTTGTCTTCGTGTGAAAGAGGCATAATACGAGTATATTTGGCACACTGTAAGCAGCATTGTGGTGTATAGGATCGCGAGCTGCGCGCAGGGCGTCTGAAGGGCGCGGCGCTTATGTCAGCGATTGTTTTGCGGCGGCATTAAACTTATTGTCTGTTATATGTTCATTTGTTTTATGACTCAAACTTTTCGCAACTGTTTCGATGCGCTCCTGTTTGATTTTGATATTGTTACAAACGCGTGATGTCTATTGTTTATGGATAAAGAAATTTATTGACTCTATTGATAATGTTTAACACGTCTGCGAATACGTTTTACTTAGAAATTAATTCGATATATATCTTTTCTCGTTTCTCATTGTGTTTCGATTAGTTTGCGGCCGACCTAATCTCTAAAAGGTCGCGGGTTTTATAGAATATTACACAACGATTCTGTGAAAGAAAGATTGAAAAATAATAGATTATTAGATTTTATCTTTTGTGATTGCCGTTTTTAGTGCTATCTTATTTGATAATACATTGTATAAAACTGAAAATTGAAATAGACATAAATACAGTATATTAATTTCGTACGTAGATGTATTTAAGCTAATTAGTTATCTGGTATATGTAACTGATGGAGAATTTATTGCGAGTTTTATAAAAAATGTTTTAGTAAAGTAGATATTTTTTACAAACCGTTATTAATTACCATCTATTTGATAATATAAAGTCAAGGCTAGTATTATATTAAGTAGAGTTTAAAGAAATATTAACATATTAAAATTCCCAAGACGCTCGACCGGCGGTGCGCGGGTCTGCCGGGGCCCAGGAACACGGAATCGTCGGCCATTGTGCCAACCCTTTCATCTCACGTATCAAAATAATAATAAATTAAGTATAAATAATGATCAGGCGGCGGGCAAGGGGTTAGGTACCGGTCGGCGCGGAATGCGGGCCCATTAGGAAAGTGTCACAATGAAGCATAAAGCTCGACCACCGGCCACCGGCCACCGGCCATCGTACGCACCCTCCGCTATCGGCACATCTTTATGGACTGACCGCTGTCCATAGGCATTGTGCTAAAGCGGCGTTAGACCATAATCCATGCGAATGGAGACTCGCTTCCATTCTCTTATCTTTTTTGCATATGAATAATAATGCGGTGTGCGACTGGCCGTTACGACGCGACAAACACTGCTTACCACGTGGACGAGGTTATACTTAAAAATCTTTCCTTACTCAAGTCAATTGTGTAATCTTCCGTTTGAACAATTTCTTCTCTCATCTATTTCTACTATTAGTCAATTTATCATGAACATCGTCAGCTATATAAAACTGTTGGAAGCTGATTAGGCTTTGTCCGTTGTGAATAACTAGACCAAGTTTCTTAACAACTTGACATAAATAAACACGTCTGCGTTTGAAGTTAAGCTTCGAAGAACTTTCACGTTTTTTAATTTATCTCGAGTCAACTAACAGTATAGAAAACAATTAGGTCTTTGTTTGCGAAGAGGAAAGTGATCGAAATTCATTAATAAGCTAAGCCCTCGTCAAATCAGATACAGTTTGCTATAAAGACCACCGCTTACGTATAGGCCCTTGAGAAAGCTCTCATTGTTCGTCGGGGCCTTTAACATGGTAATTCTGCTTAGAGGGCCTCGTGTAATTTAGACGTGCCGCGGGTCACACCGAGCACATAACGAGTTGCCATTTTTGTGGAGTCGCGTCTTACTCGCCTCAATGTCGACCGCTCAATGTCTCTCAACAAATATTTGCTCGTCTCACAATTTACCAGTGTTGCTATATTATTCTACAATGAATAACGGCAATGTGTCAAAATTATTATGTTTTATGAATACATTTCTTTATGTTCATAATATTGCCCGTTATTTTAGTTTAAGACTTATGTACAATAAATTCGACAACTTATAATACTTAGAGATTTATCTATTTATGTCTATAGATAAAACTAAATAATTAAACTACCAAAATAATACTATAAACTATATACTAAAACTAAACCAAACTAAAAATAAAACTAAATAATATAAAAAATCGACCCCAAATCGCTGCGGTCGCACGGTAGGGTTCCCAAGAGGCTGGCGGCATTTCCCCGTTGGATGGCCAGGCTCAACCTTTGGCCGAAATGCGCGCCAGCCCTTGGATCCCCTGAGGCGTCGATGAGGCGTGCGGAAATCTCCTTAAACAGGCGACGGGCTTCCGCACCCCAAGGCCCCAAGGTCTCCACGGCAAAAGGCGCAAATATATAAGGATCTGCCAACGCCGCATATTTACGCCTTTTATTGATTTCGGCTGTCGCCGCAGCTGCGCCGGCTTTACGAGCGGTCGCTCTCACGTGGGATGGAGCAACAGTGTCCACGCATGTGGCATCCCACACGAGTGACCGCCCGTTTTTCCACGGAATGAGCGTCATACCGTCGGGCCTCTTGCCATCGTCTCGGGCAATGCCATTGGGTTCAAGCACTGCCGGCACGCCGGAAGAGGCAAGGGCTCGACGGATGACGTCATTTAAAGCGGCATGGCGCGGAATGCGTCCTGCACTGTGACGACATGCTAAACCGTGATGACCAAGAGGATCGACGTCTACCCCACAACGACAGCGATGGGGTTCGTTCGTCCGGGCCCCAAGACGTAAGCTCACCGCCAAACTAAAAGTAGTCCTCTCCAGAAGCGTACCTACGCTAAACGATGGAATAGCATAGATTGATAGATTATTATCTAAGAAATGGATATAAAAGTATAATACAGATTTAGTTAATCGTGGGATTGAATGTGTTTGGGATGTACAATGGGTTGCGTTTGGCCACGCGTGACGCCCAGTCACATGTCAGCCGCCGGAAACCTGCACACAACGCGCCACTAGGGCTGACACAAAACACATTTTTATTAAATGCACCTACGCCGTATATTTTTTTTTTGAGGAATAAGACTATACCATTCTTCCGTTACGTAAACCGTGCTGTTTAGACGTTTTTAAAATGCTTTATAAATTTAGAAAGTATTTTCAGAATATTGAGCAACACTTTTATTTATAAAAAAGTTACGTATAAAAGTTTCCGAAGCTATTTAGTTCAATTATGACGAAAAACTTTGTTATTATGAATTCAATTGTTTTGGAAAATGTTTGTAATCTAAGCGCAGTAGACAGCCCTAGTAGCGCGTTACACAGCAGAGATTAGCGCGCATTGTGTCGCGGCTCGGCTGCAGCAAGGTGCAGCGTAACCCATTTTTGCACAAAAACACGAAAGGATTTGGGTGAAAATGTGCGCAACGCAACGTGCACAAACATCTGCCTGCCTATTGTTTGGTTAGGATTGCGTGTTGAGATCAGAGCCGGACTTTGAGGAGCCGACGTGTCACGTCACGTCATCGAGCACGCTAGAACACGGTGCAGCACGTGCAGCGGACACGCGGTCCGCGGCATATTGCACATTGTAATTCCCATCGCGTATTAATTTATGTACATAATTATTCTAACGCAGGCTTGATCTATACTTTATATGATTTATGATAATTTTATAAATTAAATATAAAAATATTAATTTTAGTTATATTTTTAACGTTAGTCTACTTAATGAAGAGATATGACACATTAAAACAATTGTTTTATTAGCCTTTTATAAGGTTTAGTTTAAGGCTTTGCTTTTAGCTGGAGGCTGGATGTAATATTATAGCAATTGTTCGTCACTATTGTTACAATACGCGCAATATTATGTGATATCAAGTAAAAATAAGCACGTCATGTGCAAAGCAAGGGGATTAACCGTCAAAGGCAACAAAATAAATATTATTCGTTCGCAAACATCGGGGTGATTTATGGCTCTATCTATCAAACATTCAAGAAACGGACAAAGGGGTAAATTAGAACCCTTTTTAAATTATTATTAATATTTGTAAAGGACAATACGTTATGCAAGTCACGGTCCACCCCCGCCTGCATGAGGGTCTCTCTTCATTATCAAATTGCACATTTCGCGTCAAAAGCATCGGAACCTTACATCTGGACAGAAAGGGTCTAAAGTGGTTCTGAGTGGAAATTCACTATTATACATTTTAATTCGTTTGCAATATGATACGTTCACGCCATTATCGCAATGCTAGCAAAATAGGGTGGTGGATTAAACATAATTATTTGAGTTTTTGTCGCAAATTAATATATTCATAGAGCAAGAAAATATTGGTTGCCATCTTTTCATTAAGCCATCCTAACTACACATACGCCTACACATTCAATCGCGACTTTATATGTAAACCAATATTATAAATAGATTCAATATCCAATTTAGAAATGTATCAGTTCATTCAGAGAGAGACAAAGGCCTTTATTTTCGCATCATTGCCAAATATTACTTCCGAAGATTTACGCAATAGCTGCTGCGTGTGTGCGTGAGCGTGTACGTATGCGTGGGTGTTGCGGCGCGCGTGTGTGCGTGTGGGGGTGCAGGGGGTGCCGGGCGGGGGATGCCGGGCGGCGGTCGGGGGGCGGCGTGGCGGCGGTCGTGACATTGGGCGCATCAGCTGACGGGTATCGATTGCCGCGAGCTTCCTCTTTGCTCTTTATGAATATTTCATGCGGCGGCCGAAGCCGGGCGGTCTGCTAGTCGCGTCACGCTATGACGGTTAATGACGCGATATAAATAGGATCACTTTCAAAGTAATTCAAAACAATACGTAATTACGTTGGTTAACTTTTCAAACTTCTCTTCAAGTAAGAATTTTATAGTTAAATTTTCCATACTTTTTAAAAAAAAATTGACACTTAAAAGGAGGAAGGTGTCTTGATGCGATAAGAACTTGGATACTCAAAGATCTATGTTGATCTCTGCTTACTCCGTTACGATAATCCAGTGATATTTTATCATACAAATGAAATTTAGTGAGGTAAGGGTTAATTTTATATTCAATTCAATATTTTGGTAAAAGTGCTAACTATTTAGTACCAATTATAGAAACTATAAAGCGTTGTGCAGGGGTGGACCTAGGTCCTGGCGTCGTTAAGATAACAATAGGGCGGCCACCTGACCAGCAGAGCTGTGTCGGGGATCGCCAGTCACGATAAACGCAATTTACTCCTTTATTGCTTTTGGTCTAACTTTCGTCACTAATATTAAATAATATTTTTCGAGCCTTTTATTAAAGTTTAATTTGATAAAAAATATTGTTTAAATTTACTTTTAGTATCAATAGCTTTAGTATTATATATATATAATACTAAAGCTATTGATTTATAATTAAAGCAAACACAAATACCAAAATATATATATATATAAATCAATAGCTTTAGTATTATATATATATATATATATAATTATATATATATAATATATTATATATATATATAATACTAAAGCTATTGATTTATATATATATATTTTGGTATTTGTGTTTGCTTTAATTATAAATTGCGTCCATTAATAAAATGCTTACGCAATATATATAAATATGTTACAAATAAAAAAGCTAAAAAGTTCATAAAACGGTCGTTGATTTCTTAATAAATTGAAACGAATTTTAAATTTTTCATGTGTCAAGTAATACGAATACATTAATTAACATAAAACATTTTTCAGCGATATGTATAAAAGTAAATAACATAAATGTATGACTCGGAGCGGTTTATTGGCAATCTCGTTGTAAGATGTCACTGTTTATCTTAAAAATGCAAATGGCCGCAATTGATGACTTTTGGCGGGATTTTCACAAATTGACCGGATTAAAGGTTTCTGTTTGCGGTAGGTTTTAGAGTTTGTTTTTAAAAATATAAATGTACAAAGAGATTGCATTGCGTTTGGTATTGTTTATGTATTTGACAAAATATCACGACTTTATTTGGTTCTGAAGTACACGAATAGATTTAAATAGTGTTTGTGTGTAGTATATTTGTATGTGTACTGACCGGTGTTGGGCGCGGTGTAGAGGTGGTGGTGCCTGGGCGCGGGTGCGGGCGCCAGCAGGCCGTGCAGCAGCGCGCGACCCAGCGATCCGCGCGCGCCCAACGCCAGCGTCCCTGGCTCGCCGTCCACTGCCACACATAAAATCACACATTAATACAAACATAACACACTGCGTATAACATAATAGTTTTAAAACAAGAAAGATTTATTTATTTAATTTATAAATTTTCAAGTTAAATTAAGTTATATCAAAGATTGTACAGACTACCATTGATAATGAACTTAGTTATTCGACAGTTTAGTTTCGTAGAGTTGCAGACGTCAAATTGTACGATGAGGCTGACTTCAAAGGCATCCGAGCCGAGGGCCACGTTGCTATCTCTTGGATAACTTCAGCTACAGATCCCGCAGGCGCTATGTGGGCACTGAGGTCGTCGACACCGCTTGTCCCACTTGGTAACTATATTGTTACTAAGTGAATTAAATTGGTTTTTAAGTTATTTTAGCTTAAATAAACTTAATAGATAGGTAGGAGAGCCTTTGAAAAGTAAGACCGTGACGAGCGTGTAACAAGGGAATTACCGTAAGATCAATAATGTATAATCTTGATACATCCGAGCCAGACGCTTCCGTGCGCCGACCTTGGGCCGCGCCGCACCTCCACCCCCGCCCCCGGGGGAGCCCACCACCGCCACCTGTTGTCTCCCCCCATACTGCGCATGTTTGACGCAGGAACGGGACGGGAAACGCCCTCCCTCTCGTCTGCGAGGTCGAAATGTCTAGACGAATTGTGAACTCTTTACGGCGTGGCCACATGTGAGGGCCGTCTGCTGGCAGCGCCAGCAGGAGTGCACAGCGCGGGGCTGTGCTTTTGGAGGCGAGGGCGGAGAGCGCAATGCTAGAGCATTGCTGATCTTGAATGATTTTAATTAACTTATGTATGAACGCTGACTTAACATTTGTCATTTCAATTCAAATCGTCACTATTATAAATAAAAAATACGTGGATACAAAACTTTTTACGCATGTAACCAGTTTAAAAGCAAATTGAACACTTCCCGTCAACGACTTTTATCGCGACATTTTCCTATATGGATAGAAAGGCTTGGCTTAGCAAATGGGAGCGGGGAACATAAATTTAAACAAATCACTTTAATAAATGTAAGTGTTTCAGTTTAAGGAACTAATACGAAGTGGATTAGATCCTCGATCGAGCAGCTGCATGCGATCGCTGCTATGATTTGAATTATTCAGGGGAAAGTCGGAAGGGGAGGGGTCCGGGGAGGGGTAGGTGTCGTCGCTCTGGCGCACGCTGCGGCCACGCTTGCAGCATCTCATTGTTTTTATTAGGTGACTGCGAGGTCATCGGACCCGTTTACAAAAGTTTTCTAGCTAATCTGAAATTACAGTATTTTTCAATCTTTCTACTAATTCTTTTGTAGAGATATTCAAGTGGATATTCACATGTGTAATCAATTTCAGTTGACACAGTTACGGGTGGCCGTAGGATGAGTGAGAGTCACTCATTGGGGATTGAACAATATATCTCTATGTAATACAAATTCAACAATGAAATTAAATTGTTTCCAAATTAACGTAAGCTTTTACCTGAAACACGTTTGTGTTGTATAACAACAATCGAAAGTTATTAGATCAGAAACGTAGCACAAAGAAACTTGTGTCCGAGGCTTGTGTTAGTTGTGTTAGTTGACTTTCGTCGCATGTAGCACGTACGGTATGAATGTAGTGGTGAGGGCTAGGACGTCGACTTAGACAATCAATAAGCACTAAATTCGGGTCGACTTCCTTTGAGTCCTCGCCGTAGCTCCCCAGGTAGACAAAGGCCGGCGCTGACGGGACCTTAACGACAACTTTACGTAATAATAAAAACCGTTTTGTTGGGCCTGACACAGAAAATAACATCAATAAATATATCTTTTGATGTATGTACATTATTTACTTTTCTTTGTCCCTGAATTTCACAATATATTTTATATCAAAATGTATGTATGTTAGATTACGTCGGGTAATAAGTTTTATTGAGCTATATTCTGCCGTAATACTACTTTGTATTAAGGTTTAAATTCCTATAAAAGTCATAGTTTTATTGACACATAAAGTTATTAAGGCGATAGGTAATGATATAATTGCTGGTAGCAACCATTTTCAAATAATCAGAACTTGTCGTAATCTGCAGTATTTTAATGAGATAAAAACTTAATCATATGTAACTAACATATCTATTGCATTAAAAGTTCTAACATTTCACTGCAATGTTTCGTGAAGTTTATGACGGAGCGTTCAGTTGATGACGCGATGTTATTTTGCAGACGAGTTTATCGTGCAAAGTGCACACAGCAGCACAGAGGGCGCTAGTGTATTCATAAAGCGAACCTAAACTCCCGTGTACAGCTCAAACTACTTTCACTTTCCTGCTTTTCTGAAATATTAACTAACTTGCATAAGCCACGGTCGGGAGAGGGTGCGGTGGCGGGGGCGGGGGCGGACGAAATGATAGCTCGGGGGTGTTGGGGTCGGTTGCAGGGTGGGGGGTGGGGGTAGGTGAATGCACGCTCACAACTTTTACTACCAATATCCTCGGTGCAGTATTATTTTACCTTCTAGAATAGTGAAATGGCGTGCTGCTTGAAGCGGGGCAACGCTCTATGCTGTTTTTTTTTATTATTTCTCCTTTGTATGACCAAATGTCTGACCCGATGGGGGCCAGATAACAATAACGAAATATGTACTTTATTTTGTTCAACCGATTTGAAATATAATGAAACAAAAAAACTTTTTAGTATTAATTGTAACACAATCTTACTAATATTATAAAAGTGATGGATCAGAGATGGATGTTTCGGACTCGAACATAGGCTACTAATTATGTTTTTTTTTATTCCGCTCGGACGGAGTCGCGAGCGTCCGCTATATTCTGGATATATACGAAACACGACTGTGTTCAATAGGATCGCAGCAGCCCTGGCCTCTACACCGACGGAATGACTGACAGATTATCATAAAGGAAGTATTTTGTTGTTATACAGAAATCCAAATAACTACTTGTCTGTACTGTTTCCTGTTTGCATAATACATATTTATAATATATTTTTGTGAGGTAAATCTTTTTTTTTTTAATGAGAAAATTAACTTGCTTTAACTTTCAACACATCAAAGGATTTTTATCTTTGCTGTGACTTCAGCGATAATGATTTTAGCAATGTTTTATTTTTGTATGAGTCGCGCACAAAGAGATGTCATCGTATTAAAGTGAACTTATTTTTGTATTACAGGATATAATTAAGCTCGGACGCAGGAAGTCGGCTTTTAAGAAGTTGCGATTTAGATCGCATGATACTAAACTTCGCAACACCACTTTATACATGTTAGGGAGACTAGCTGTGGCCCGCGACTCCGTCCGCGCGGATTTGAAAAAAAGACATAATTAGTAGTCTACGTATTATTCCAGACTATGTTCTATATGTATGCGAAATTTTATCGAGATAAGTTCAGTTTTTTTTGCAGATATCTTCAAACAAACATACATCCATCTAAACATTCGCATTTATAATATTAGTAAGATCAAAACATCCATTTACATAGTTTGATATATAATAGTTGTACATAACTAAATTTTCAATATTACATACTAATACATGAATGTTACGTTTGTTTCTATAACACTAAGCAAGATTATTGCGTAGTATATTTTTTTTGGTTTAAAAGTTCGTTAACACTAAATTCGTCAGCTCTGGAACTTGATTTTAGAAGCTGTAGGTATGTCTACAGTAAAAAAGCGTATGAATGTCGGTAGGTCTGTTGCCGGCGAGCGACACATAAGGCACGACTAATGGAGGAAGTGTCGAGCGTCTCTATGCCGATATACATATAATATTATTAATAAAAAGCGCAGATCACGTCTGGCTGCGTCATCGCGATCAGCTAGTTTAGTTTGACGTACAATTATAATAGTAATTTTTATTAATTTCCTCTTAACTGGAATATTCCTCAGTAAACTTCGATTATTGATAAAATACAATCTGTTAGATGTTAGTTGTTTTGATTTAAAACATAATTTTAGTGTTAACACAGATGTACGAACTATAATCTACTGAATATTTCTCTAACTCACTTCACAAAAATGTAATAGAAAGTAATTTTAGCGGAAAAGGTGGATAATATGAAATAGTAGGGCAGTGTGAGTTTCCTGTGCACCGCCGACTGCGTGTGCGCCGCTTGAGGAAAACCGCGGCGTATTTCGTTATCTTATTGTTACAGCCAATAACAAAACAAGATTATTTATAGGACTACATGATTAATCCTATGTTTATCCCATGTTTTCACTCGCCGCACTCATTGTTAATTCATAATATGATATAAGGTAAGCTAAGAAAGTTATGGTTGCACCGTCATTGAACAACTATCTGAACATACCAATCCTAATTTACAAACAATTTCAATACGCAGAGATTATAGGAAGGAGAAACAAGACACAGAGGACAATGTCAGTGAATTCCGATATTGTTTTGCGATCTTCATCGCCCGATAGTGACATAAATTTGGATAAAACGAATTATTGCCGTCGACGACGATGACGTACGCCCCCTCATCTCCGGGCTGGGCGTTTGTCGAAATATGACAATTTGTTCGCCTGATCGCAAGTATTTTATTTTAGGATATCTCGATTTTCACTTTTCTGGCATTTTCTCAATCGCGAAAATAACATCGTCCCAAATGATATAAAAGTGTTTTATCGGTTTTTAAGCGGTGACCGCGCATTCCGTGCGGCGAAGGCAGGAAGATACCGCGCCGCCATTTTCGACGAACCGGTTTGCGCTCGGACAAATTAAAAGGACATCGACCGTCGATTGAATCGATACTCTGCAATGATGGAATTAAGTATTATTTCACATTGATACGTCCTAAGCGTTGGTTTCGGGAAATCGAGCGGAGATTTGTGACGTCAGAACACATCCGGGAAGCGATAGCTATTTCAAAACGCACGACCGCGGAGCGGGATCCCTTCTGCCGAGGAAATCGTTCACGCCAAAGGTTCTGAGTATAATAGTTCATCCAGAGTTCATCATGTTATTGCTGTATTAAAAGACTGTTTATTAGTGATTTGAAT